GCTGCAGGTCGCCTCTCCGATCTGAATGCGTACATATAGCAATGGTGCGTCGATGTCGTCGTACCGTTGCGTCTTGAACTCGCGGTCGATCTTCGCAATGTAGGCGTGAAGGTCGACAACCTCTACTCCGGTGTCTATCAACGGAGTCGGTACTGCAGTGTGCAAGTAATCCCGCAATTGTGCCATGAGCACGTTGCAATGCGGTTTCAGCAATCGACCGGACGGGGGAACGGGCATCCATTGGAAGTCCGCGAACGTCAACGGGTCGAGCTCTTCAAGTCTTGACCATGACTTCGAATCCCCGGTGATAGATGGCGGTGAAGCTGCCGAATCGTTTGCCGATGGTGATGAAACCGTGACGCGGTAGATTGTTGCACGTGGAGCGGTTGGTCCAACGGTGGGACCAAGTGGACAGCGTAATCCTCTTAAGATTACCGAGGACTTGCGACATGCGCCTCCTCCCCAGATGTGTAGGGAGGCCGCTAACAAGGAGGCCAAATCTGGCGGAGTGAGAGGTGGAGTCGCCTCACCTCCCGCGCAGCTCAGTTTCTCGCGCTGTGGTACCGGCTGTCCATTTCCGGCCGGCGATGCGGTTTTCGCCTTCCCTTTTTTCAGGAGTTGTTGTTGCTTCGCGGCTGGACAGCGGCCACCTGATCTCCTTCACGTGATGCTTGGGCGGCTGCTGGGTCTTCCACAATAGTGTCCGTTTGGACTGCAGCGACATGCTGGGGACGCGGACCAAATTTTCCTTCTCCACATGGGCTGGCTGCCATGCTGTCTTCTCGTGTGCAGCAGCCCGGTTGGTCTTGATGATTCGAAATGCCGGAACCTGAGCTTTCGATGCTGGCGGCTTCATGCCGCTGCAGCAGATCCTGGGCTTCCTTGCGGTGAGCCTGGGCGCCTGCGTCTGCTTCGGCCTCTAGCCGTAGCTTCTCTGCTGTTGCCGCTGCTTCAGCGTGTAGCTGGGCAGCCTTGGGTGCCAGCCGGCGTTGTTCCTCAGCCTCGATTGCAGCGAGCTGAGCCTGGAAACGCTTTTTGTAGTCGGCAATGGACTCGTTGGCCAGTTGGTCTGGCATGCCCAGAGCTGCGCCCGTCATGGTGGCGGGGCACTGCTGACGTGGCACTATGTCTGACGTGGCACTGCTGACGTGGCACTGCTGTCGTGGCACTGTGTCTGACGTGGCACTGCTGACGTGGCAYTGTGTCTGACGTGGCACTGCTGATGTGGCACTGCTGACATGGCACTGCTGACGTGGCACTGTGTCTGACGTGGCACTGTCTGATGTGGCACTGTAGCTGACGTGTCACTGTACCAAACCGGAAATGCATGCAGAGGGGTGGGTGGGGGGGAAAACGTAGG